GAAATTTCTTTATAAAGGTAGAATAAGGCCAATGATAATAATATTTTCATGCTCCTTGATACATAATGCTGAATTATTCTTGAAAAGTTTTTCACAGCATTCATTTCCACCAAATAGGAAATACTTTCAATCTGCTGTTAAGTGATCCTAAATTAACAATCTCTTTCTCAATTTTTTGAGGAGGATTAGTGTTTTATTTGAGGTTCTGCAATTTATTTATTTATTTTTAAGATTTTATGTATTTATTTGAGAGACAGTGAGTGAGAGAGAACAAGCTGGAGGAGGGGCAGAGGAAGAGGGAAAAGCAGACTCCCCACTGAGCAGGGAGTCTGATGCAGGGCTGGATCCCAGGACCCTGGGATCATGACCTGAGCAGAAGGCAGAAGCTTAACCCACTGAGACACCCAGGCACCCCAAGGTTCCACAGTTTATAGTGAGGATTAAATCAGAAAGTGGCTCTGAAACACAGTGCTCGGAAAGACTTTTTAAGAAGTAAGTTCTTAGTTCAAATTGACTGTTGCATCATTATTTTACTTTTTAAACATCTAATTAGTGTCACCTGTATTATTAAATGATGTGTGTTTATTGGATTATGAGCAAGAAATCACTATATCTGGCCAAATTCAACCAGATGCATGCCTTGTTCTTAAGAAAATCATGTTTTAGAATTAAAGTTTCCACTAGGATTTCCTTCTGGTACCAAGACTCTGTCAGTTGGAGGGGTGGGATAAAAGCAGAAGATAACTGATGGTTAGTGTATTTATATTTATTCATCATGTATATGCTAAATCTGCTGCGACTTTAGAATTTGGAATCTCGGTGGTAACGCACCTGTAGTTCAGTTGGCTATTGTAATTCATATAAAAAACAGCTGCTCCAACTTCAAGGTCAAAAAACCAAGCACGAAAGGAAGAAAGATAGAAAAAAGGAAAGTTATTATTTTTGCGAGTCTGGAGTCCAAACTGGCACATTCAGTGTTTTATCAGGAGTTCTCAACAAAGGAATTTTGCTTGAGCATGTGAAGGAAAGAAGCAAGCACCCAGGAGAGAAATAGAGACTTTTGCAGTTGGTGCCAAGAACCACAAAAACATTGATATTCCTCTGAAAGTGATGAGCATTTGTGAACCTGAGACATGGAGGTTTTCTAAGACAGTCTTAGAATGATGATAGTGACGTTTTTATGAGTTGATTCATACTCAGTCAAAGGAAACATCATCATAATGAACATGCTAGATACCAAGGGCCAACTGTAGTGTCTCATGTAGAATTGCTTCTAGCTAGGCCAGCCAACTAACGGTGATAGTTATCGAAGAGTGAGGTCAAACTCAAGAGAATAAATGCATGCATGTATATTACTTGCTGAAAGAAACCATGTTAGAGATAAGGGTAAGAAGGTAGAAGGATCACTTAGTTACAGTACTGACTCATTGTCTAATCAAATCATTCATTTTAGGGTTTTAGAGTTTTCAAGGTATGCAGGCTTTGCAGGTCAAGAGATCACAGTTAACACCTGACTCTGCCATATAAAATCTGTTTGATTCTTGACTCTGGCCAAAGCAATCTCTCTGGCACTATGTTTCCTCAACTAGGTCATGCAAATAATATGAAGAATACATTCTTTTCCTTTTGGGTATTCAGTGAGTTAATGATAAAGTTTCTAGCATACAAGTATGTTTGAAATGTATTTTTTTAAGAAAAATTAGAAGCATTGTTTTGATTCTCTGTCAGCTTTCAGATTAAATGAAAAGCTCAAAAACATGACTATTAGCTGCTTTAAGGATGATGCTAGAGTTTTGTTGTTGTTCTTCTTCCTCCAATGTTTTAGTGAATTCTAGACAAGATGCATACAAGTGAAGAATAAAGTATCTTAGAGTAGCAGTTGAAAAACCAAATACCTACAAGGGCCAGAAAGGCAATATGAATGAATGAAGTGGTTCTGGTGGAGAATGTGGCCAAGTGGGGATTGGATTCCCCATCTTAAAATAACTGACTCTACCTTAAAAGAGCTGCAGCTGAGCTTTGCTATGCAGGAAAGCAGGTTTGTGGTTAACAGATTTGATTATTTCAAAGATTTATTAGAATTTTAAAATATTTCTCATTTAAAATAAAATTGGTAACTAATTTAAAATAAATACTGGGAGGCAGAAGATATGTTGGGATGGGATGTGTATATATGAGTGCAGGTGTATGTGTTTGTAATCACAGGGATAGAGTACTGTGAGCTGTAAAATTCGCAGGGAAGATAACATACCACATAAATGCAAAGTGCATGAAGAGATCCAAGTCTGGTCAAGACAGACTAGAAGGGACTGGGGAGCCACTAGTAGTTCAGAAGTCCTGGTGCACTGAAGTCAGAGAAGGGAATGTGGGAGGAGGAAGCTGAAGAGGTAAGTGGTGGCCAGATCTTTCATACTGTATCATCTGTGCGATGGAATTTGAACTTGATCATGAGGAAAATCAGTAGTCTCTGAAGAGCAGTAAATAGGAATGGCAGAATCAAATTTTCAAATTTGGTTGATCTTTCTGATTGCAAAGTGATAAATGGATGAGAAAAGTCAGGACTGAGTGTAGACAGATCAATTAGAAGGTTGTTGGGAATCAAGTTGAGGTGAGGAAGATTGTACTAGGACCATGGATCTAGGTGTATAAAGAAACAGATGACACTGTATGTTAACTACACTGGAAAAAAAAGGAAGAGGAAGAGGAAGGAGAAGAAGAAGAAGAAGCAGATGGAATCAGAGATATCTGGAAGAGCAAATCCAAAGGCGCTTTTCTGGGGAGAAAGTACTGTTGAGCGAGAAGGGGGAAGGAACACTGTGGCTGCATCTCTGTAGAGTATTCAAGGTTCATAGAAGATTCACACCTGCAACGAAACTCTACAGAAAGCAGGTAACATCAGGAAATGGAGAGCACCAACAACCTGACTGGGTGTGAGTGTGTAGGCGAGGAACATCTCTCTGGAAATATTCTATTCTTAGTCTACCTATTACTTCTCCATAAAGAAATAAAGGAGCATGACCTCTAGATTTTATCCTTTGTAAAGAATGTAAAGCAGTCAAGTGAAAACTGAAATTTAGTTCATTGTGGAATTTAGTTCATAGTTCTTTGTGTCACGTGTTTTGTCAGCATCTCAGAGTGAAGTAATCCTCTTGTTTTGGATCATTCTCTCCATACTCTGTATGTCTCAAAACTCAGAGTGCATTTCTGCCAGAGAAACGACCCCAGCCACTTTCATCTCCATTTATAAACTTGTTGACAAAGTCACACATGAGAAAATGTGCAATAGATCTTGCATTCTCAACCTCTGCTAGAAGAAAAACGCCACTAACAAGAAATATGAAGAGTTATTCAAATCTACCGCAGGGAGTGACTGCAAAATAAGGCGGGGGGGGATGGAATGACAAAATATTTGATTACATAAATCCTCCCTTCTTTATTCTGCACAATCTCTGGGAAAGAAATAATGACCCTTCCTTTATGATCTGCTTGTATTTATAATTGATTTATCTTGTGGTTAAAAGGAGATTTACTCACTAAAATTGAGATAGACAGGAGAATGCAATTTGGGTTTGACCTCCTGGCCTTTTTGAATATCACTTATCAGACCTGATAATACAGTAGAGTTTCAGCATTATTTCAGATTAAAAGATGTTTTGGAGTGTTATGTCTGTCTGTGGATGCAGCCAGTGACTGCCATCCCATATTTATGTGTCTGTAGACCTTGTGTGATTCAGGGAAGTCGCAATACTCCCTCAACCCCATTCTATACTCCCATCAAACCCATTTCCATTATTTCCTTGTCCACGCTGCCAGGCTGACTGATGCCAGGAATGTTTAGGTTACC